ACCGCTGTAATAATACATGTGACATGCCAAAGACCATTGTCAAATAGTCTTTGATCTACCAGGGGACACGATAATTCGCTTGCGAATGAAAAACTTACCTATATACTACCTTTTTTAACATAACTTTGAGGCAGCAAATAAACGTTTTGTTACATCGGTAACCTGAAATTTTCTAACACAACCCAGTTGACATCATTGTTCCATAGTGGAATAGAATGGCGACACCAATACATTCCATATAAAATATCATTAGTAACACAAGCATAGCATAGCTCAGTACATCTAGATCATTCAAAATACGCCAAAAACACCAAACCAAGTGAAAGAATACGAGGAACTTAGTATGCCGTGTTACGCAGCTCTCACAACAACTAGTCAGCTTGGTTCATATACTTCTTGGCACATTATTCATCCAAATATGTCTCCGAACTCCGACATTTCCAATATCTAAGTTTCCTGACTTTGGAATCCCAGACTACTAACAACAGAATTGTCTGGAACCCAATATCCGTAATATTTTTAGGTCGCTGATACTCACTGAGGAGGAACGTGTGATAGAATCACACATATATTGTAAATCGGAAATCAGGTGTACTAGAAATGTAGGCAGACGTATACTAACCCTTGATATCACATAAATCCCTCTTTAAAAATCGGCCATGCATTCAGTGATTGCTACTTTTATTATGATTGATCGACCTCACTGGTTTTAAGAATGTCAGTAAAGTTTGGTTCTCCAACATTATTTGAAATGCACAAATTCTAAACTTCATATTTTATCGTAAGTCTTGGTCCAATAAATGATATATTTATCTTCTCTGTCGCATAATTGGTTAATCGCTAATAAAGGTGGCAATTGTATTTTCCCGTATTGAGTAAATCGTCTACTTTTGATTTCAATATATGATGTATAAATCTCTTTTGTATTTATTCAAGTTGAGTTTATCAGTTCAGTGCATATCACCTTTGGAACTTTAAAAACACACTCTACAAAGCAGCTGTTGGTATGTTCCTTTGCTCTTCAAGAGATTATTTGTGTTGTTCTTTCGAAACAAACTCCACAGTTTATCAAGACGGATCTCGCTGGGAGGTCAGTCAACTTTTCATAATTTAAGATAGTCTTCCAAGAAGGAACCAAAAGCTAGATTTGAACGCGACTCAAGCCATATCAAGTCCTTAATAAGCAAGCTGCTTTCAGAAACAAAGGTGGGAGTTAACATTCATAGAATAAAACGAAACATACTCTGGCAAGTCGCCTTTTAAAAGTTACTTTGGCATCCGCAGAATAAAGAAACCTAATACCAAAAAACCTCACACAACCTGACTGAATCTGGAATATATGTCTGTGACGATCTCAGTCTAATTTGATCGTATTAAGAGACAACAGACAGAAGTAATGATACATGAAAGCTGCCTTAACAGTGAAAATCCTTTCACCTAGGAGTTTTCGCATACTAGAAGGTTGGAGCAAAACTATTCACAAACCATTACCTGTGGTACCGAAAAGTTCTTCAAAGAACTAACGGTGCATTACACAAATGCCCGCAGCCTACTAAATCAAGTGCCGGAGCCCAGAAACATGGTAGAAACAGAAAAACCTGATGTCACTACCACCTCAGAAACACGGTATATGTCAAATGTGTACGATAATGAAACTCATTTGCTTGACTTCTCGCTTTGTAGGGTTGACAGACCTAACGGTTGAGAAGGTGGGGTTATCCTGTGCATGAGGATAACCTTAACCACACGAGCCGCAGAGATAGTGGATCATGGTGATGATGTCAGCTAAATAACGTGCCCCTCATTTTTAGGGAGAAATGATCATGCGGTCATCTTATTCAAGTTCGTCAGTGAAATAGTTTGTAAAGCAGATGCTCTGGTCCATCCTAACATATGGAAGGCAGACCTGAAGGTGACCAACCCCACAGTATCAGCTGAAAACCAGAAAGCTGACTCAGACGCACTAATAGGAGAGGCATGGATTCATTATCAGCGGTTATACAATCAAGCAACTCAACGATTTGTATCATGGACTATCCCATCCCTCGATAGATCAAAATTTTCGACGTTTACTAAGGCGAAAGAAGAAACGTCGGAACTATTCCAAGGCAGTTTTTACTCAGGAGTCTCTTCTGGGCGAAGGAATAAACTCAAATGCAAAGTTGCCTGCTCACTGTGAACTTCGATCAAGACGACTTACGTAAGGCTCTTAGCACTTTAAACAGAAAAACCAACGGGACCGGATGATCTACACTCTAAAATCTTGGAACAAACTGCACAATATACTGATGTCCTACTAAATGCGATACTCAATATGTCACATGGCCAAGGTGAGTTACCTGCGGACTGGAAGGATGCAATTGCCACACACATAAAACAGGATCATGGCAATTTCTGCTAAACTATAGACCTTTCGACTTCACCGGTGTCGTGGCTTTAATACCGGGAAGAATAATCAAAAAGGCGATGACGACATTCATGGAAGCCAGCAACTTGCTAAACAGAGAACGACATGGTTTCAAGAAAGGATTACCTTACACAACAAGTCTCCTTATAGCAGGAGAGCTAGGTAATAAAAAATCAGAGGACAATGTCTACATACACTTCAGCAGAGCATCTGATAAGATGCCCAAAAATAGACTGTTATTGAGGCTGAAAATCTAGGAATCGTCGGACTTCTAAAGTCAATCGAGAATGTTTAGTTATGTCTTAGACAGAAAGTATGAATAAATTTGAAATTCTCTTCTTAGAAACAAGTACTTAGTGGAACAACGCTATGTTCTGTCCTAGTTCCTCTACTTTGTATGCTATATATAATTGAACTCCCAAGCATAGTTGAGTTCTCAGTGCCACTGTACTCTGATGATGTGAATATCGGGCGGAAAATGACAAGAAACGCAGATGCATTTACATGTAAAGGCTAGTATCCTCTATTTCTGACTCCAATGAAAGATATCCCGTTAACTGGGTATTTAACGCTGGCTAAATGTCCTAGTAGAGTTTGTAGAATTATGGTCGACTATGATATTAGTACTGCGCTAATAATAGACATAATCCTAAAACTGTAGACTTGTCATGATATAACAACCTAATCTATAAGATCTTACGCATAAGTCATATCATCGTCAACACCAACTCATCGTATCGTAACAATCACCAATACATGATCTAGAACAAGCTTAGGCAAGAGGTAGAACAATATATTTAACATGAATAAAAGATATAACATTCAAGAAGGACCACGCCTGCATGTCGGAGCAATGCCATTCGATCAATTCCGATCAATTCGACTCATTCTTCCAGCCCTCTTCATCGTTGGGTTTTTCTCGGTGTTGAATTTTGAATGACTATTTCTCACACTGTCTCGTATCAGGGCTCAGTGTCACTGCAAGTTTACTCGGGATTATTCAGAAGACCGAATACCCGTTGTAGAGATATTTTATTGTTAAAGATTATAAAATCCGCAAGCGTACAGAAAGCAAGCACACAGAGAAACCAAGAGTGTGTGTGTGAGTTGAAAATTCATATATATTAATTAATGTTAATCAAGTGTGGATAAATAATCGATTATCTATGTGTCACAACCAATGGGAGAATAGATTAAGGATTGATATGCAGACACGCGCTCAATCAGTGAGTAGACAAATAATACAATAGTTGAATGGGCTTACTACATGTACTTCGGGCGAACTTAGAAGTTCTGACTTGCAGGTCTGAAAAATGGGTGATGTCTATCAACGCGGCCCAGTGTGTCTGCATGCACATTAGAGATACAAAGGTAGCTAGGCACGGTGTGAGGGAAGACTCAGTGCCTATGGCCTGAGCTCACGAGGAACTTGGGGTGACAGTAAGCCATGATCTTAAGACCACAGGTCACTGTCACGAGGTCACAGCTAGGGGGTATGGGTCCCTATGGGCTGTTGACATTTGTATTGAAAATTCTGACGTTGATATTGGTTGACAGACAGTTGTTTTGAGTTCCATATGTTCTTCAGCTGTAGATATACTGCTCTTTCTTTGCCGATTAGCGCCGTCACATCTACGTCAGATCTATCGTGTTCATCAATGATGCTGTCCAAATATGTAGAGGTCTTCACATCTTCCGAATCTTCACCGTCAATTGTGATTGGATTGGTGCATGCTGTGTTGTATCGGAGATTCTTGCTTTTCCCTTTGTGTATAATGAGACCTACTGCTGCTGAGGCTGCTGCTTCTCCTGCATTTGCTGTTGCGCGTGCTATGGAAGAGCCAGATCATCTGCGAAGTCTGGATCAATCAGTTGCATCCTAGCTATTTACTGTATCCCATGCTTTCAACCAGATGTTGACGTATTCATTATCCAGTCGATCACGAGGAGAAAGAGAAATGGTGAGAGTAATAAGCCTTACCTGACAGTGGTCTTCACTTTGAACGGGTCTGTCAGCTGACCTCCATGTGCAATCTTGCAGTTTAATCCATCATAGAAATTCTGTATGGTGTTGACTATCTTCTCAGACACGTCATAATGTTGAAGAAGCCTCGATAGTGTTGTCCAGTTCACGTTATCAAATGCTTTCTCGTAGTCAGTGAAATTGACGTAGGGATTTTAAATGTTTCGAATTATTTTTTCAGGTTAGCTTTTGTTTAGAGAATTAGTTTTCTATGTGATGGGGTCGCTAACCGCATGACTAACCTTCCTACTTTATCCGGGCTTGGGACCAGCATTAACCCCAGAGGGGCTCCAGGTAGTGTCCTTTACCAATCTAGATACTAATATGTTCACCACAGTATACACAAGCCCTGTGAGTTTCAGGCTTGAAAATTGCGTTGAGGCTGCAGTACTGTGTGTTAAACATGACTCAACTGTCTTGTAAAAGGTACAAAGGGCAGCTACCCACGCAGTCATAGAACTCTAGGGTTTACCATACAATGAGTATGTAGGGCCAGTGAAATTTTACTGACCCCTAACCGAATCATCCAGCAGTTGAGTCACTGAACATCGAACAGATTATCGATCCTCGTCGAGGTCAAGGACAATCATCGCGCATCAGTTAATGGAATGTCACGGGCTGGCGGAACTCGTGGTGTTCTCGCTATCTTCTCTGTACTCAATTTCACCAGTATATTTCAATAATAACGTCCTTTCTGTTATCCGGTCTTCAAAGCAACCATAGAAGCTCAGCGTTATGCTGAAAAATGTCCTTCTACGATAGGCCTCAACTTATATAGGTATCGGTTAAGGACATTGATTGTGAATGTATAGCCATAAATTGTATCAGTTATCTAGTTCTAATCCCATTGTTGCATACTTTAGTGTAAGTGTATTTTGTTTCATTAGTGTTGAATTAATGATGAAGTAGGACATAAAGAAAATTGCACGGACTATTCCCTACAGCCACGTTCGTTCGGCTATTGAGAATTGAGGTAGTCGTCCTGTGAATTCTGAAGTTAAAAAAAACAAAAATCGTCACAACGACATCTGAATGACATGCTCTGGCACAGCCAAATGCTTGAAGCTGAACTTACGGTTATGTTCGTTAATGCTGTAGACTATAACTATAGAGCCATAGGGAAGTTATCACTTGAAATTAGTACATACCTGATCTTGTTTTCTTCTATTACGCTTTTCACTTTGTCTCTGACATCGTGGAAATAACCTTGTGTCGCGATGTCGAACAGCTTAGCAAAGTCTTTTTCGTTGACAGCGGATGACAGAAAGCGATTTGTTAACGCACCTGAAGTTTAAATACTAAATATGAGTTACTTCGTATGCAGCCGTAAAACCGGCATTTCTGAATTGCGCGTTTCGAAGAGGTGCCAAGTAACGTAAATTTACTGACAACCTCAGGTGTTAAGAGGTGTGACAGAACATACCACATTGATGTTTTCGGATCGTCACTTGGTAACCTCGTAACCATTGCCATCTGTAATAGTAACAAATTATTAAATTAATGTTGATGGCTTACAAATCGGTCCCTGGTTTCTTTCTGCTGCAAACCAGTGTCCAGCATCTGCAGTTCCTCTTCAGATGACAAAGGGAGCTGCTGACTCGAGATTCCGCAATGGAATTGATGCGGTTTTCCGCGTTCATTAGACTTAGATAGTAATTGCTTTACATTAATATTCAAGTCAGTAATGGCCGAGGAAATGTTGTGCATCGTTTTATTCAAGTCAGTGATAGCTGACGACATATTCTGCACCACTGTATACAACCTATCGAACCTGAAAAAGTTCACTTGATGATGCAGGTGACTTACAGGTCCGCTATAACACCACTGACATGCTTAGATTCCGATGTTGACGGTGACGTCTCTAATTGCGTCGAACTAATTCGTGAACATCTAAATAATAATGAAGCTTACTTGGCAATTGGCGAGACGAATTTGTCAAACAACCGAAGTTTTGGATATTGTACGTGGCGATTGCCAGCCTGCATCTCAGCCACGTCCATGTCCACTGAATTGTAAAGAAACGCTTCTTTCCGTTTCATTGCACCTCTAGGAAATGTTAGTAAGATTATTGCACAGACCTCTTGGGCTTTTCTGTGTTTTGTGGCAATGTGTTTTCATCCGTAGAAGTGTTTCTACGATGAGATTCCAGTATTTGCAGGGAAATTCAAAGATCTTTCGCAGACTGCAAAGAATCTATAGTGAATTATAGTTTCTATGTTTGTTACTTACCAAATTCGTGAATGACTACATTTCAAAACTGACCAGTTGTTATCTGGTTGATCGTAGTTTTGCAGGTGAGTATCTATCAGCTCGTTTGGAAGAAAGCAAAGTTCTTTCCCGACCATCCACTCCTTGGATGCTATCATAAGTTCTTTATTGATCGGGACGTGAACAATGACGTATTTCTTGTTAGTAGGCTAAAAATAACATAAGACGTCATTAAATGGTTTATCATCATTAATTCAACACTAATGAAACAAAATACATTTACACTAAAGTATGCAACAATGGGATTAGAACTAGATAACTGATACAATTTATGGCTATACATTCACAATCAATGTCCTTAACCGATACCCATATGTGTTCATGGCTAACTATGGAGCACATAAAGATTCCTATATCACTAGATGGGAAAGGATCTTCAAAGTAATTGCGTGGATCAGTGAAAAACCTAAATTTCAGTAGTCCATCCTCCTTTATATCAGTGACTAAACCAGGCTGCCCGTTTACTACTGCTACATTATCAGGCTTAAATGAAGTTATTTTACTATTCTTAAACATAATTACTTGTTTGTTGGAGACATCATCAGCGCCTATTGGGGTAGTATTTGTTGAACAGCTAAGTTGAGGCTTATCGTAGAAGGACATTTTCTCAGCATAACGCTGAGCTGCTTGCTTAGCTACAGCAAACCCACTGTGCACAGAATTCTTGATTTTTGTCTCATATAAAATTCGAATGGAAAAGCTGAAAAACTATCTAAAGGTCCGTGTGCACGAACGTCGTCAGGGAGGTGCTGTAACGAATGCGCATTGTAAACTAAGTTTTCAGACCCATAACACCATTTGTATTCTTTAAGGAATTTTTGTAAATCTATTCTGGCGGTTTCTACAACAGTATTATGTAGTTTCGGATGTGCAAGCAGATAAATGGATAACGCTAAACGCCGGAAATTAAGATACAAAGGTTGCGGCAATGTTTTTTGAAGAATCACCGGGCTGAAATACAGAAGGAACAACCTACATTCAGAAGCTTTCCATGCCGATACGAAGTCTAGTGTACGGCATTTACGCGGAAAGTCGTAAGGAGTACTTTCCACGCAACCTGATATTAAATTATTGATGTCCCTAATTGCACATGAGTTCAAGTTCAGCAGTCTCCTGTGTGCTAAATCTATCCATAAATTAGCCAGCTTTTTTGTGACACCTAGGTACACCATGTGCATAGGATTTAAAATAAAAGTTAAAATCATATTAATCGAAAGCGTTTGCGTAATAGAATATCGTTGATTGTGAAATAATATGTATCTCATTCTGTCATTTATAGTCAGGTTTCTAAGGTATTTTTCTATTTTACTCTTAAATCTGCTTTATTTTGAATGTTGCATTATATTTTGATTTCTATTCCTCAGGTTACACTCCATACTAATTCGTACTCAAATCATCATTCGTCTCTGACTCCATTTATTAGTTTGCGCTAACATTCTTTCGAATTCTATGTCCCAAGACATATTAAAAAATGCTGTCCATTCTCAACGTGTTCGTTTCCTGTACAAATTTATACTTACTTTGCATCGTTCACTGCCTTCGCATTTACGGGAAATTGGTGACAAATATGTGAAAACAGAATTCAAGAAGCATAAGGATGCCAAACCCGAATTTGTTCAACCATTCATGGTTGAATGGACAGTAAGTAGGTTTAAATATCTACATATTTTGTATTTCAGGACTTTTTCTAAACTTCATGTATGTTTATAATTACTAAGTCCAGTTATTAGATCCCATAAAGAAGTTTAAATAATGACAGAAATATTAGTTATGATAGTATGTAATATTAGAGGTAAATTTATCAGAATACGTTTACCTTTTTTCCTTCAAGTTATGTACCTAAACAATCGTGTGACATAAAAGTGTAAACTTGAATAGTCGACTTTCAGGTCGTAAACCGACTGTAAAATGTGGTGACCAGTGATAAAATAAAGTGACATTTATTATGTGCAGTCAGCTTAAGCTTGATTTCATAATAGTCGATGCCTTCATTGTTATGAATAGTTTGAATAAAGGGTGGCATAAAATATGGTGGTTGACTTTTATTAGCAATCCTTGCTTATGGTGTGTATATGGACGCTTATTTCAGTGTTACTTAATTACTTACGCCTGTTACTCATCATGGAAGAACATAAGCCGACCATCACCACTCTCCATCCAACCCTGTTTTGGGCGATTCTCTCCAGCTCCTTCCAGTTGTTATTTATCCTTTTCATATCTGCTATTTCCCGACGTGATGTATTCTTTGACCTTCCTCTTCTCCGTTTCCCTTCTGGATTCTAAGTTAGTGCTTGCCTCGTGATGCAGTTTGATTATTTGCGTAATGTATGTCTTATCCATTCCCATCGTCTTTTCCTAATTTTCTCTTCAACTGGAAGCTGGTTTGTTCTCTCCCACAGTAGGCTGTTGCTGAGTTCCATCTGTTCTTCAGTTGTAGGAATGTGGCCCTTGCTTTGTGAATCCTCGGCTGTACGCTTGTATCTGATCCTCCTTATTCATCGATGATGCTTACCAGGTACGTGAAGGATTCTACGTCTTCCAGAGTTTCGCCATCTAGAGTGATTGGATTGCTGTTCTCCGCTTTGAATTTGAGGACCTTGGTTTTCCCCTTATGTATGTTGTGGTTTACTGATACAGAGACTGCTGCTATACTGGCTGTCTTTATCTGTATTTTTTCGTGTGTATGCGATAGGAGGGCTAGGTCATCTGTGAAGTCCAAATCGTCTAATTGGTTCTGAGCTGTCCATTGTATGCCGTGTTTTCCCACTCGATCACCAGAAGAAAGAGGAAGTAGGGGAGTAGACAGTCTTGTCTGACTCCGGTCCTTACTTGGAATGCATCTGTCAGCTGTCCTCCATGCACTACTTTGTACTGTAGTCCGTCGTATGAGTTTCGGATAATGTTGGCAATCTTCTCAGGAACTCCATGGTGTCGAAGAAGTTTCTATGATCTCCTCCTATCTACACTGTCAAACGTCTTCCCATAATCAATAAAGTTGATGTATATTGACGAGTTCCACTCAACTGATTGTTCGACGATGATCCATAGTGTCACAATTTGGTCTGTGCACGACCTATCCTTACGGAATCCAGCCTGTTGATCTCGAAGTTGAACTTCTACTGCGTCTTTCACCCGGTTCAGGAACACTGTTAGAGGCTTTCCGTGGTACTGACAGTAGTGTGATACCTCTGTAGTTTTCACATTTTCTCAGATCTTTCTTTGAAATCTTGAGGTGTCCTTCTTTCGAGTCCATCGGCACTTGTTCCTCCTCTCAAATCTTCTTGAATAGAAGGTGAAGTATGTTTGAAGTTACTTCGATGTCTGACTTGAGCGCTTCAGCTGGTATATTGTCGGGTCCTGCTGCTTTCCCGCTCTTGATTTGTCCGATGGCCGTCCTGATTTCTTCCGTCGTTGGTAGATTGACACCTATAGGGAGCTCTGTGTGTGTGCTGCTTTGATGTCCGGTGGATTCAATTAAGCTTGTCTATTCAAGAGTTCCTTAAAGTACTCTATCCACCTGTTCCACTGTTCTTGAATTTTAGTGATTGGCCTGCTTTCTTTATCTTTGGCCGGTCTTTCTGGTTTGCTGTATCTCCCTGCTAGTTTCTTCGTTGTATCATAAGGCTGTTTCATATTTCCTTCTCTTGCAGCTTTTTCCGCCGTCGTTGCTAGTTCTTCCACGTATTTCTGCTTGTCGGCTTTGATCCTCTTCTTCACTTGCTTGTTTGCTTCTATGTACTCAGCTTGTGCCTTGACTTCCTCTGCTCGTGTTCGGCTGGCGTGGTTTCTTAAAAATGAAAGGTAGAGTATTCGGTATCCTGCCCTTTAACATTCAGGTGATTTCAGTTAATTAGTATACTAACATTAAAGTTTAATATCAAGTCTTTGGAATTCTGTCCAGATTTTGTTTTTAATTAAATACGGACTGGAGCATATGTAACAGTATCATTAAATTGTTTCTGTAAATTCACTAACGTAATCATTCGTATACTCCAGTTAATATTTTCCAAGGCGACTGTAAAGTTAAACAATAGGGTATAGTGATGTATATATTCTTAGTTTTTAGTCAACTACGGGAAAACCATCGAATTAGATTTCGTTTTTATAAGATTTTTCAATTAGGTCTATCTACAGTCTTGATGCTAGTTCATTGATCCATCCATATTGTTGCTATAAATTAAGCACCAGCTAAAACATGATACTTCTCTAAAGTCTTAGTTGTTGATCCATTGGTCGAATAGTGCAATAAGCTCAATGTTATCGCTTGCTTTCACCTATAGGTTTGCTGCACATACTTCAGTCCAGGTATCCGCGTAGTGACATCAGTCCAAAACCCAGTACAACAATTTTCCTACCATTAATGATACTCTTATTTTTCACTACTTTTGTATTCCTGATCATTTTAGTTCATTGCTCAGTGATGTGGCAACATGAACAGATGGATATATGTGCTCTATTCTACGCTGCTTATGACTGACAGCGCTTTGACCCTAAGCATACTCCTATCCACCACCTAATACCAAACTTGTCTGGTAAATATTGTGTTATCATTGTATCCATGTATAGACTTCCATTTTAGCATTCACTAAATGTCTTAAAGCTGTCTTTAACTATTTGATTGACTAACCCATAATAACTTAATCAGTAGCCAATCTAAGTTTGGCCTTTTACAACTCAACATCCTTAATACTTATCAGTGATTAATAAAGTTGCTAATTTTTACTTACGATAATTATTTTATTTTACAGAAATATGCAGTTGAATTATCAATGCAAATTCAACAGTCAATACGAAATTCGAATAATAAAATTGGCGAAAAGGATGAAATTAAAATGAACAAGGAAGAAGCGCTTGGTAAACCATTGGATGAAACTTCATTGAATTATTTTTCTGAAACACAACTTAATCAGCTATTAACTTTAGCTAAAGAAATTTATGATGAAAATAATAAACCATTAGAAAACTAGTCGAAAAAATATCAACTTTATTACAATGTGTTGCGAACTATATCAATAAAATGTAGCGATTATATTTGTTTTTAGATTTTCTGAACTTTTTGAATTAGTTGATGTGAACAAGCTACAGTCATTTTGAAATAAACCTTTCATATGTCAATCAGTCAGCTACAACGTAGGACCAGGCACATATATGCATCGGTCCAAGTTGTCATACCTCATTAACACAACAAGATGAACACCGGATTCATAAAAGTAGTTAATTCAATGGTAATGATATATAAAAACGATTGCATATAAGGATATAATACAGGAAGACAAAATTAGTTCGTAGAAAGGTATAAATTAATTTTAATCTCATAGTTTAAGGGAAGGCAGAGAGTGTATACACCTACGCCATTGTGACCGATTCTGAGCCCTGTCACCCTGAGTCTCCAACCATTGGTTACGATAGTCACGCGGACCCCAACCAAGTAGTCGGCATCTACCAACATGGCTCAGACTAGAAGTTAGTGACTTCAAGCACTGATGCCACGTTTTGGTTTGGCCGCCCTTTACTTTCTTCCAACCATCCCGAACACCGGTTAGCATTGCACGTCGTGGTAATCGGTGTTCGGCTATACGTAACACGTGGCCGAACCATCTCAGTCGATGAAGATTCACAACCTCATCGACTGATTTACCATCATTCCCTAATACCCTGCATCTAACCTCACTATTACTTACCCGATAGTCCCAACAGACGCCAGCAATATTTCTGAGGCATCTGTGGTCAAATACTAGTAGCTTACGAGTGTCTTCTACTCCTAATGACCATATTTCGCTGCCGTAAATTAAAACAGAACGGACTGCCGCGCAGTATACTCGTCCCTTAATTGATAGACGGATATCTCGCCTTCGCCAAAGGTGACGAAAGTTGGCAAAAGCCAAGCGAGCTTTTCGAATCCGTACTGAGATTTCGTCAGACACCAACCCATTAGGGCTGATCAGACTTCTAAGATAAGTGAGGTTGTCGACGTGTTTGCAGTTCATGAGTCTTAGATAAGCGTCTGATAATTATCGAGGTTAGTATTTTAGATACTATATTAGTTAAACTAATCCCAGTCAGATGGGATAACGTCTAACTCCCAGATCTTAGCTAAAGTATTAGTCAACCTAATCGATAAAATTGGACCACCACCCTTAAAGACCTCTGGAGCCAATTCATCTGGACCAGCTGCCCTTCTTCGTTTCAGATTAACTATAGTCTTTTGAACTTCTGCTAGAGTTGGGGGACCTACTTCAATGTTCCATTCACACTGTCTGGGAATGGAGGGTAGTTGTAGAGTAGCTGAAGGCCAGTTGAACTGTTCTCTGAAATGTTCCACCCATCATTCTAAACATCTGGACTGAGAGCAGATGAGGGTGTCGTCTTTTTCCGAAATAGTCTGACTTACACTTGACTTATTAATTCCAGTTTCTTTTATTAGTATGTAGAGCTGTCTTGTGTTCCCTATAGCCGCCGCCTTTTCCATCTCTTTTGCTTTCGCTGCCCACCACTGCTCACGGTTGTTCCTTAGACTTTTGCTTAACCTATATCTGTCTTGTTTTTGCTCTCCATCGTGTTCAGAGCCTGATGGGATGAGTGTTCAGGAATCCATCAGTGCAATAGACCTTGAAGAAATCCATTGGTTCTTTGTAACCCTGTGGTTTAAATCACTGATAGATGTCACTGCTGTTTCCACAGCTGCTTGTATATCTTTCCAAGCAACATCTGGGTCAGCCTCGTTTTCAGAACTACCTAAGTGTGACCTCAGTTGTTCCTGGAACCTACTTTTGGTTTTCTCGCTACTCAATTCAGTTCTAATGGGTCTATTTAGTGTGGCTTTTTTGCGTCTACTGAGTCTCAAGCAGATGTGTGACCGTGTTAGGGCATAGTTGGAGTCCAAGCAGGTACTCCAGAATGAGCAACAATCTTCTACCGACCCTCTTCAACGATGACTGATGGCAATATGGTCTATTTGAGTCCATCGTTGGTTTGGTGTAGGGGGTCGCCATGTTAGACGATGTCTCTCCTTATGCTTAAAATTAGTGCTTGCTAAAAATAAATGATTGTCTGAGCACAGTTGCAGCAGACGATCATCACTATCTGTTCGTTGAGCCGGAATACTGAAGTACCCACCCAAATGCCTTTCTGTTTGGTTTAAGCTATCTATCTGGGCATTAAAGTCACCTGCTACGAGTACTATGTCTGAACGTTTAGCTTTCTGAAGAAGTTCAGATAGCTTTCTGTAAAAATTCATCTTCCACATTATCTGAGCTGTACTTGCGTTTAATAATGTAAGGGGTCGCGAATAACATGGTAATGACAAGCGTGAAATTAAAACAGCCTGATAATGCAAAACAGAAGTTGGGATATAGTAAGGCTTCATATGGTTTACACTAAGTGCAGATTTGCTCAGTCGGCTGTAAGTCATACATTTTTGTATGTGATGGCTAGTTCCGACCGTAGCTTCTATCATGGCGTGGTAGTTAAGCTTGTGTATCTAAATGGCTCAGCCGAGCTTTACCTTCAGGAATAGTCGTTCCTTTAGGCCGTATCATATCGGACAGGTCGCTTGGGGAACGGTAAGACCTAAAGCAACAACTTAGTGCTTGAGGGCGGAGTCGTACTGCATATTGCGTAGGCGTGTGACAATAAGGTGTCTGCTTGACGTCTGCAGCGATTCTGCCTTCTCACAACGGATGAGGTTTGTAAAAGTCCTTCCAAAATAGCAGGCTTTGTCCCGTGGGTCTCAGTTACTTACTGTGAAACGTTGTTGGGTCGTCCATAACATTTAATCACTTAAAATTCGGGTGTTCCATTCGCTCTCAGGTCATCACGATCATTTTAGTCTATTTTTCTCTTACAGTTACTTCAATAAGTATCATTCAACCATTTGGGGGACCGGTACATGACAACCTCCCCCATACTTCTGTCAGTACTTGAGATCATCTTGTTCACATTCGGATCATTTGATGGCTAATGATAAAATATCGTTCGGTTGCCTGAAATGAAGTAGATTTATCCTGTTTAGACCTGTGAGTTATTGGTTGATGTCAAAAATCTCAGAACACTGAACTACATTTCGACATGGAATATTAACTGATATTACCTAAAACATTTTGTTCAGACAAAATTTAGATGTTTCAGCGATGAAATATTTTATTACGATATTATTTGCTAGAACTATAATCATATTTATTCTAACGTGTAGTGGTCTATAATAAAAGTAGAACTGTTGCATCTCTAATAGAGGTTCTAGAAGCTAGTCAGGATTTAAAGTTACATAATAGACAAGGGTTAATAAGAATGAAATGACATACGGAAACGAGCTATCCACTGTTTTACGCGTCCTTGGTCCGATCGATAATTCTCTACTTCTTATTGGCGGCTTTGGGCTATAACAGGTGATTATAAGGAAGATAATATGGATGCATACTCATCAAAATAAAATATAGGACAGAAATATGAATGGTAATCGTCCACTTGAAAAGTGTACGAAGAGAAAGCCAACATGTGTCAAGAACAACTGGAAAACTATGGAGTTATGTTAGGACTAAGGTAAACTAAGATATTGGACATACGACTTTTGAGCACTGAGATAAGGCTTGATACGTTGAATCGCCAAAGCCTCCTCTATTCGTAATTTTCGTATCCGACTTCCTCTTGAACCGTATTGTTTTGCCTTTTAAATAGTTTTGAACGAGAATTATTGTTACAGTTTACAGGATTTGTGTGCTGACCTTCATGACATGTTACGAGCTCAAAGAACGGGTGATTTCACTAACATAGCTTGATTAAATCGTCAAGGTTCACTATTCTGACCACCATTTCAAGCCATTAAGTGAGGTTTTTAATATATAGTCTCGAACACTGGAAGCTTGCTTTGTTGGTAGTTTCATGTTAAATGGGGATTAAATATGATATTACAAATCAATTCAGTATGATATTTACTTAAATCATTGTCATTCAAATGATACCAAAAAAATAGTGCAAAATAAGTGCTGTTAGAGGTATGCAGCACTTATTTTGCACTAGATGCAGATTACTTGGTTGGGTTCCGCGTGACTATCGTAACCAAGGGTTAGAGACTCAGGGTGACATGGCTCAGAATCGATCACAATGGCGTCGTTGTATACACTCTCTGCCTTCCCTTAAACTATGAGATTAAAATTAATTTATACCTTTCTACGAACTAATTTTGTCTTCCTGTATTATATCCTTATATGCAATCGTTTTTATATATCATTACCATTGAATTAACTACTTTTATGAATCCGGTGTTCATCTTGTTGTGTTAATGAGGTATGACAACTTGGACCGATGCATATATGTGCCTGGTCCTACGTTGTAGCTGACTGACTGACTGAGTACAAAATAAATATATCAAAATGACTATATTTATAGTTTATTTGGATAATGAAATAAATTTCCATCTGCTGTTTATTTCTTGTTTCGCCCTCTCTCCCTCCCTTCCTCTAGAAACCAGTTATATTCCATCCATATGTACTGCACTGTAAAAAAATTGAGTTGTGGCTAGTACGAGAGAATACGTAAATATGTCTATATACGGTATTTAGTAAAAGTCCTGGTAGAAAGAGCAAACGTCCGTGACTTGTCAATAGAAATTATGACGTTATAAAATTTCAGATGTTACATGGATAACCTTCTTTACGAGCTTTCCGTCAATATTATTTTACTTATAATAGACGTGTCAGTTTTTTTGAAAAGATTTATACAAAACTAAAGCTTTATAGAACACAAAACCTATTTAACTACACGCCTTCTTCAAAACATAATGTGGAAGTAATTATGACTGAATTCAAGATAACGAGTAGAATCGTAAGTGCTAACTATATAGCAGTTTCGAAATAGTATGTGACAGCCAAATGTTCAGTTCTCTGTTGTTTTTAATTATTTACCGATTGATATCGATCTTTGACGAAAGTCACTTACACACTCTGAAGTCCGAACAACTCAGTGATAAAATATCAAACTGTGAAACCTGATGATTCTGGTTCAAATCTCACTGGGAACACCATCACCATCGAAATTGCAACTACGCTCTATTGAATAGTGTCATATATAGCACGATATCCTGTCGACCATCTACAAATACCTAACAGACTTGGATTTCTTGGATATGGTACAGAGATCAGGTTCACTCTTATTAAAATTCATTGTGTCCGATTACTAGTTTTAATCATGCAAGACAGGATTTATACACGATAAGTTAGACAAACATTCAGAAGAATTACCTGAGTTAATGTAATTCTTGATAAGAAATAAAAGTATCGAAATTAATTAAGAACATTGAATTTTAATAGTTGAGATCATGAGTCATTTGAAGCTAGACCACCATGGAAAACCTGGATGCACTGAATGGCTGCTTCGTCCTACTATGGGACTCCTCAGAAGTGCACATCCACGATCCCGCCTCACAAGATTCGAACCTAAGACCTATCAGTCTCGCGCGCGAGCGCTTAACCAGTAGGCCATTGAGTCGGGCGGTATCCAACAGTGTTAATGTTTAACTTCAATTCATCCACTTATTTTCATTTATCCATTTATAATTCTAGTAAGAAATCACAGTGATCTATCTGTATAAACTTCTATTTTAGAAGTGAGACAATGGTTGAATAATATCGTAATATAGTAACTCGCTGAAAAAAATGGTGGATGTGTCGATCGATTTCGTGGATTAGAGACTTATAGCTCCTGTGTTCGAATTTTGCGAGACAGGATAGTGGATGTGCATTGCTGAGGAGTCCCACAGTAGAACGAAACGGTCGTTCAGTGCATCCACGTTTCCCATGGTAGTTTAGCTTCAATCGACTCATGATCTCAACTACTAAAATTACTATAATATCCACAAAGCCCTTTTGATATGAATAACATTGAATCTCACTGCATACATTTTATTCATCCATAGATATCTATTCTCATAGAAATAAATGTGTTTACTATTAATTAGCTAATATATTCATCATTACAATGCTATAGTATAAAGTCATATGCCACATAAAATTGAGTAATAATACTATTAGTTGTAATAGGAATGAAATATGAAGTTTTGGTTCACTTCATTTTCTATTCATGGTTAGGTTACTACTTCATTTCAATGTCCACCCCATATTTCTTTTGAATGTCCACAACCATTTTTATTACGTCGTCGAATATAATCCGTTGGTGCACCGTTTATAATAAATCTATCAGCTATTTCACCTTCAATTGATGTTCCAGGTGGTGTCTAAATTAAAAGAAGAAGGAAAAAAAAGAATTACACTAGTAAATTATTACAAAATTAACCTCACAAGTAACAAACTTTTGAAAAATGTAAGTTAAGATCTACACTTTCTTTGAACTTTTCCAGTAATTCCCCAAAATGTGGTTACCTGAAGTCCCCCTATATTTTCTCAAAGTTAACTATTAATGTTTTCATAAATGGGACTATATTCACTTGGTGTCGTTTGGCTTGTATCTTCCCATTGAGGCTTAAGACTGCAATTGGTCAATCTGTTATTGGCATATGTGCATACTGTGCGTATGCCTCGATATTGCCTTAATTCACAAGCTATTTGTAAGCAATGATGGATAGTGGCTAGCAGTGGAATCCAGTTTGACACGCGTTTCGTCCTATTCGGGACTCGTCAGTTGGTTGTTCTGCATCTCAGAGTCGATGTTCACTCTAAGACTCGAACCCAATACCATTCGCTTCAAGCACCATCACGTTATCCACTTCGCTACTGAGTCTTGATAGCCACTTGCTAGTGCAATGGAGTGAAGTTGAAATTCACTTGGTATTATTTACTTGAATCTTCCTATTGATGTTTAGGACTGTAATTGATCAGTCTGACGAGACCCAAACAGGACGAAACACGCGTCCTGGAATCGACTGCTAGCCACTATCCATCATTGCTTACAAATGGAACTATAGTTCTTAAATTAAAAAAAATATTCCTATTGGCAACAAGTTTGAATCAATCTTTAAAGGTGTGTGATAGACAAGCCCCGAAAAAAATATTTGATAAATTGATATGCCTGAAATTAGATGTTAGTAATTTCTAGCTTTGAGCTATGAAAATATCGATACCACGATCCTTTTACCGCCCCCCGCTCCTCTTCCTCAATTATTCTAAGATGCACTATTGAAAAAAACACTTCCTGGTAGAGATCAAAGGAAATTGACTTCTATAGATAACATATGAGTAAAATAACTATGAAAATAGAATAAACATTTAACATATACAAATATATCCTATTGTGGGACTCCTCAGCAGTGCGCATCCACGACCTCGCCCCCTGTGAGATTCGAACCCTACTGGTTTCGCGCACAAGCACTTAACCACTAGACCTCTGAGCCGGCTGGTATTCAATGGTGTTAATGTCTAACTTCAACTAATCCACCAAATTGAGCGACACATCCACGATTGTCTTCAGTGAGTTACTATCTCACAACAGACTCAGTTGAACTCCACTGTTCACTGCTTCTCACTAGAATTTCAGGATATGCCTGTTGAAACCAGTCACTAGTGAGCATATTTTGATTAATATCAGATGGGTTTTGTGGATATTATAGTAATTCCAATGGTTAAGATCATGAGTCTGTTGAAGCTAGACCAGGGATGCGAGGTCATGGATGCGCACTGCTGAGGGGTCGCACAGTAGAACGAAACGACCGTCCAGTGCTTCCAGGTTTTCCATGGTGGTCTAACTTCAACTGATTCATAATCTTAACCATTGAAATATACAAATATATACTGATCATTAGGAAAAATAGAATCTATAATTATAATGAAAATGAAAGGTAATTACTGTTTCTAAGGGTTATGAGAAAATATAAATTAGATTTTACATAATTAAAAAAAAATAGCTTATAATTAGTTTTTAGAAAATGTAACATCTTTAATGGGAAAAAAACTTTTGAAATAAATTCATAAGAATAATATTGTACTTTAATTTAAAATGTTCAAAATTGAATTGTTAGATTGTTTATAAAACACATATGATTGAACCTATTTGTAGAGTTTTGTGTTCTTTAGGGGGTTACCTGTAATGTTTATATGAACTAATAATTCCTTTGTACTTGTTGAATGCTTAATTTTGAATTCTAAATACAATACATTCGTTAGTGCTTATCTAATACTTCTTGATCCGATTACGTTATTTCTGGAATTCTTAGTTCATACTATAATTCAAATACTCCTAATCATCATATTGGCGTCGCAATTGAGCCTGTGATGGAACAGTTAGACATATATTCAGATTTTGATGCTTTTGTAGTGACTCACGTTTATCACGAGAACACGACTGGTTTAATAAAAACAATTATTATTATAACCAACTGTACCAGTGTTTGTTTTAATGTGCTTTTGTTTAACTGTGCTAATTATAGCCATTTTGTGCTTCCATTACCTTTCATGATTGTTCCGCGGTTTTTGGTACTGTTCGCACGTACTCCTGTCTTCTGCTTTCGCTTGTACCATTCCTTGGCACGATCTCGGTATTCGTTCAATACCACGAGATCGCCAACGAAATAAATCTGATTACGTTCGATCCTCGCCTTCTGATTTATCTGGCACGTGTTTCTTGGTAGCGGTGTTCACAGTTAATCTCAACTCGACGCCACGCTACACTTTTGAGGATTATTTTGAAAGGTTCGAAATTTGGACTATGACTAAGGAAGATGATAAGGATGTTAATATTGTAGTTCACTTCTTCACATTCATCGGAAAAGAAGCATATGGCTTATTAAAAACTCTGGTTATGCCGGAAAAGCCTGTTTCGCTTCCTTATGCAACTCTTAGGGAACTACTGCTAGACTATGTTAAGTATACAAATTTCGAATGTGGTAAAGGAGGAGAATTTCATAAAAATTTTCATCAGGATATCGAAAATTCCACTACATTACTACGTTATCCCAATCCAATGCTGACAATTCATTGAGAATATGAGATACATTTCATGAAGGTGAGATCAAGTTTGGTGAATGTTTATGCTGTGGCAACTTTCATTCTTGTAATTCGTGTGCATTTCGTAATGCTAAATGTTTTAAATATGGTGAGATTGGATACATTCAATCAGTTTGTCATACTACGATTCATTCCACTGTAAATAATGCTAAAAATTATAATTGTGATCCTATTAAGTTTGGTGTTTCTAACAATCATTTATCTTTATCCACTACTTTGAAAAGCAGTATAGAGTCGCATAACAGTCCAGAGTTAAATGAAACTCAGAATCCTTGTGAGACATCGGTTTCTAATCAATAAATTTATCAGAATTCTCATGTTATTGTACCAGATATGGTTTTTCCTAATGATTCACATATTTCTGATGAAATTCCTTGCAAATCTGAGGAAAATATGCTGAATGAACCTAGTTATGATCGAAAACCTGATGTAGTTTTGATAGATGTTGATTTTTCTAATGATCCATCACTCTCCAATGATATTCTTAATAAATTTAAGGAAACTAATTCAGAAGAATCAAATCTCGATTTCCTCATAATGCATTTGTTTCTTGTAGGAAAGTTGTTCAATGTGAAACACGAGTACTAAATGAGCTCGATTTCGATTACAATTCGGATGATTTCATATCAACTGCTGTTCATCCTTATCACAAATCCACTTCCAATATATACTCTAATCAATGTGAGAAATATGTTTTCAGGGAAGCCACATCATTCATAACTTGGGGATATAAAGATCCAACATTATTTCGTGGGGGAGGGTATTGCTGAGAGATATGTGCTTTCAATTGTAGATAGTGGTTTCGACATACAACTGACACGGTGATTGTATACAATTCTAGGAAGCAGGTGGGTGTGTTCCGATTTCGGTTGTTAATTCCAATACTAATGAGCACATTCTAGATCATATAGAGTCTACATTCAATACACTGTTGGATAGACACAGGATGAACCTAAGAAGACACTTAAACTTCAATCTAGTCTGTGGCAGATGTGGTGTTTGAATGAACTAATGATTTCTTTGTACTTGTTGAATGCTTGATTTCGAATTCCAAATACAATACATTCGTTCGTGTTTATTTAGTACTTCTTGATCCAATTGTGTTATTTCTAGGATTCCTAGTTTGTACTATAATTCAAATACTCCTAATCATCACAAGATCCAATTCATTATCGGATGATTTTTTTCTTAAGAAAATTTCTCACACAATGTAACTATCGTGGCATTCAATATCAGTATATACATAGAATTCAATCATATATTCGAAGAAATAATGAAACTCAAGAAGGAGATAGAAAAAACGAATGCATCTGTATAGTTGTAACCTGTTCTGAATCCTGTCGTCCAACGTTTTCAATCGCTTATCGTGATCATAGCTAAGAATCCAACCAAGTGGTCTACATCGTTATGAAATTTCCAAATGGAAGGAAAACAGTTATAATAACTGGTTATGTCATTACCATCTTTTCAGTAAAATATTCAAACTATTATTAATAATGAAAATAACTATGATTTTCTTCAGTAGTATTGTAATGAACAAGAACACGAGTGGGAACAATTGAATGTGTATGACACGAAATTACAGAGCATCTCACTAAGATCTGAGAAACATACAGTAAATAGTTAATTTGCCAAATATTAATCCATTGTCTCGAACTTGACTGTTCATTTTGTAAATATCAGTCCATCGACTCAGATTTCATTGTTCATGCATTTTCATACCAATTGCTTTCCGTTCCTGTTCTTTCCTTCTTGATCTTCTACTGAAATACATTCTATCTCTGACTATCTTTATATACTACTTATGTGTATATAAGTAGCTCACAACACAATATAATTCATATGTTCATGTAAATGACTTCAGTTCAAAACTAAGATGTTTTATGCTCATGACAAATCAATATTTAAAGTAAAAAAAACCTCTAAATATTTACTCTTAGTAAATTTAATTAAGAGTTTAATGTATGACCTATTTTTTTCTAAAGAAAAGAACTTTAATGTTGAAATATGTTTGTTCAATATTGAAATACAAGTTAACTGACCCCAAATGCCCTGGTACGGTTGAGGGTGGGAAGAGTTCACTCTCCCTCACAAAATGCTCTCACATGGCCACGCATATACAACCACTGACAAGGAAGTCATAATCACTGCCTTTTCGAAATGGAGTTTGTTGTTTAGGAAATTGAGAGGACGAAAAGCGAATGTCCAGTGCTTATACGGGTCGGTGACTATGCAGAATCGACTTAGGGGAGTAAAAAATTCCTGATTCCAAACCAATGGTGCACATGAGCTCCAGTATTCTGAGGGGAAAAATGGCATATGAACTAATTATTGGTCACCTGATACTATGGAACTGCATTTCCTGACATTGCTCCACTGCGTTGTGTATAAGACCTTTAGATCAAAGGCTCCGGTTATGTCCCCCTTTGAAAACCATCTGCTTCAGTTTAGGCACCCAGACAATATCACAGCCTTCAAACAAACCAAATGAGATTTGTGTAGCGCATATATGTATCTGGTGCCCCCTTAATTATTTTTATTTTAACACATAGATATTGGTACAAGGAGGCACCAAATACATATGGGCCACATAGATTTCATTTGATATGTGTGAGGGCTACGATACTGTCTGGATGCACAAACCGGAGCAGGCGATTTCCTAGGGGGCCACACCCAGAGCCTTCGACCTGAAGGTCTGATCCACAAGACAGTGGAGCATCGTCAGGAGATTCAGTCCGATGGTAACCAGTGACCAACGATTAGTTCGTACGCCATTTTTGCCCTCTGGATACTGGAGCTCATGTGCACCACTGGTTTGGAGTCAGGGTATTCCAACTGCCTTAGGTGGACTCTCCATGTCCACTAACCCTTTTAAAGTGCCGGACATTTGATTTTCGTCCTCTGAATTTCGTAAACAACACCCCTGGTGTGAGAATTCAATGATTAGGACTTGTGTGGCAGAGGCTATATACGCGTGGCCATGTGAGTGCATTTCGAGAGAAAGAGAGAGCGGACTCTCCGTACTCTCGGTCGTACCAGGGCATTTGGGGTTGTGTAGAATAGCTATTCCTAGATTCAATCACTAACTACAATCTATCTATTTCTTCAACAACAACAACAACAAAATAAATGATGTATCTATCTATATATTCATTAATGAAATAAAACTAACCTGACCAGTTTTTTCTAATAATTTTTGTATATTTAATGATTCAAAATATGATTTAGCATATGGATCTAATTGTCCATTATATGGTGGTATAATAGATCCATGTTTTGGATTTGCTTTACAATAATCATCACAAATTTTTCTAACAGCAATACAATCTAATATAAATTGACGTTCTAATAATTCTAATTGTTTTAAATCAATATGTGAATGAATTTGATTAAGATAATTATCATTTAGTTTATTTTGTTTTTTACAACAAACCATTTTTCTTTTTTCTTTCTTTTCTTTTTTTTAAAACAATTAATTTTCTTGTTTGAATGAATTCAATGTTTCAAAGTGTTGACTATTCTGTTCAATGTTTCAAAGAGTTGAATAGTCTGTTCAATGTTTCAAAGAGTTGAATAGTCTGTTCAATGTTTCGAGGCGTTGAATATTCTGTTCAATGTTTCAAAGTGTTGAATATTCTGTTCAATGTTTCAAAGTGTTGAATATTCTGTTCAATGTTTCAAAGTGTTGACTATCCTGTTCAATGTTTCAATATGCGTGTTGTGTCTGTTTTAAATAGTAGTAGTATCCAGGAGAAAGAAACAATCTAGTAGGGTTTTATGAATTCATATGCCTTTTTTTTCCTTCCAGTGTTTATCATTGGTCAATATTTAAAAGAAAAATGAAATGATACACATACACACACACACACCTATGTGTATCGTTTTAATATGGATATCTATTTTGTATCATGACTTATACAATTTTACATCAAATGAATGATTTAAAGTACAGTTGAAAAAAAAGTACAATTTTGAGTAATTTTGAACTTTGATGATTTTTTTTTCTTCTTTCTATTGAATAGTTACTTTATCAAAAGGGATTTTGTGGAGATTGTAATAATTTTAATAGTTGAGATCATGAATGCGCACTGCTGAGGAGTCCCACAATAGGACGAAACGGCCGTCCAGTGCTTTCAGGTTTTTCATGATCTCAACTATTTAAGTTACTTTATCACAAAATACTAGAACTACAAGAGTAATGAAGAGAAAGGAACACGTTGAGACTATAATTTATGGACGACCTTTTAGCGACGATGAAGTGACCTTGAGAGTCAACAACTTCTAATTAGGACTAAATAAGGGTTATAAAGCAGTTGGAATTCTCATTTACAATTGATAGTTAGGGTTTAGAATTAGATTTAGGGTTTTTATCACGAACTGACATCAACTATAATGCCTAAACTCTACTTAGTCAAATGGATGAATGAATTCCGCGCCCAAATTCGTGACTCGTTATCTTACATCTGATTGGTTCGTTCATAAATTATAGCCTCGCCACGAACACTAAACCCTAGTCAAATTATTCAGTTATGAGTTTTTGACTTTCTCAGACAAATATAAAGAATTGAATATATGAATAGGTAGCCCGTTGTACAGTTCAATTTCGTTTTGTCTACATTATCCTTTCTCTTATTGCCTATTTAAATACTATTCCCTTGGAGAATGTCCAGCCGTTTTCTAGACTGCATATGTTATCAAGAGAGCTTGACTATTTGGTTAGGGTGAGTCATGCTAAAAATCTAATGAGTTTAGTGGTGTTTGCTAGAGTATATGTCAGCTAAACAGTCACACAGTTTTAATAGTTGAGATCATGAGTCAATTCAAGCTAGACTATCATGGAAAACTTGGAAGCATTAGACGGTCGTTTCGTTCTATTGTGTGACTATTCAGCAGTGCTTATCCCCGATGCCTTCTCGCAAGATTTGAATTCAGGACCTATCGATCTCGCATGGAAACGCTCAACCTCTAGACCAATGAACCAACCCAGCATCCGATTCCGGTCATTACTTACTATTATACAACATGGTTTGACAGACTGAACATAAAAACGAAAATATAAAACCGAAGTATAAAGTCTTTAACTTAGATTTATCAACATGATTTTAACGATAAACTTAAGTTTGAATTTTTCACAAATTCTTATTACCGAATTACATGATTCAATCATTCACTTATTTATAATTGGAATCAAATAGTTTATATCTAAAAGGAATAACTCATTTAATGATGTTTATACAGTCTCGATTAAACAACTCTCACAATTGATTGATCACACTGGGTGGTGATCAATGTCATGCTTGTCTAGTCCTTATTAGTGCAGATCGAATGCTATCGATCATGTTGCAATGTGGCCACCAGTCTAGGTGACTCGACACTGCGGGCACTATGTATTGATATTTAGATGGTAGTTGGAGGTAGTCAACAGGAAACCCTGGACCCGGGTTTCGTGCTACTTGGCACTCGTCAGCAAGGTGTACCTGTAATCTTGAGGGAACGGGTGCTCCCTGGCGGATTCGATCTCGTGTCACCCAGCTTACAGGTACACCTAGCTGACGAGTGCCAAGTAGCACGAAACCCGGGTCCAGGGTTTCCTGTTGACTACCTCCAACTACCATCTAAATATCAACTAAACAACTCTATGAGATTAATTCATTCTTTTCTATATCAAGATACAACTTTGTTGAATTCATTTAAGTATTCTATTTATTTCCTACGAACAACCTATAAAGATCTTTGATATCTCAGATAAAAATAGTATGAGAGAAATGATCTTATCATCTTTCAATTTATTCAATAATATTAGCTTATTTAACTTTGATGAATAATGTTAAGAAGAGATTAGAAAGGTGAATAGAAGTAAGAAACTTGAACAGTTTACATTCAGTTATGTTTTTTGTATATTTCATAACAGTATCCAAAAAAATGGTTGTTAATGTTATGATTAGTATTATGAATGGATCAATGTTAGACCAGCATTGAAAACCTGGAATCACTGTTTTAAGACCGTTTTTTATACTGGTATAGGACTCCTTAGAAGTGTGTATCCACGATCCTGCACTAAAGGGACTCGAACATACTGCCTTCGGACTTGCACACGGACGCTAAACCTCTTGCATGGCTACGCGTATACACAAGCTAACAGGAAAGTCCTAATCTCTGCCTTCTGGCGGCGGAGGTTGTCATTTACGAAATTGAAAGGAAGGAAAGCGAATGTTTGGTGTTTCAATTGAGTTGGTGGATATGAAGGATCCACCTAGGGGAGTTGTAAAACACTTATTCTAAACCAATGGTGCACATGTACTCCAGTGTATTGAGGGAAAAGATTGCATATGAACCAATTTTTGACACAGGCTACCATGGGACTGTATCTCCTGACGTTGCCTCATTGCCTTATGGATCAGACCTTCAGGTCGACGGCTCCAGTTGTGTTCCCCATGAAAACCACCTGCTTCGGTTTGGGCACCCAGACAGTATCACAGCCCACACACAACTCAACTAAATTGTATGGCACATATGTATTAGATGCCTCCTTGTATCAATATTTATATGTTCAAATAAATAAATAAGTAATAGACCACTGAGCCGACATCCGACGGCCTTAATGTCTAACTATAACGATTCCAATATAATAATAATAATCTTTCTAAAACTACTATAGTTCTACAGATTTCATTATTTCACTAACAAAATAATCTTGATTTTTACAAACTTTCTCTTTATCAACAGTCGAGATCATGAGTCAATTGAAGCTAGACCACAATGGAAAACCCGTAAGTACTAGACGACCGTTTTGTCCTATTGTGGAACTCCGCAGCAGTATCATCCACGATCCCACTCCGCGGGATTCAAACCCAGGACCTGTCAGTCTCGCGCCAGACGCTTAACTAACTAGACCACTGAGCCGGTGTTAATGTCTAACTCCACAAACCCCTTCTGATGCTAATCGACATATGTTCACTAGTGACTGACTTCAACATGCATATTCTGGAGTTCTAGTGGGAAGCAGTGACCATTGGAGTTCAACCGGGTCAGTTGTGAGATAGTAACTCACTGAAGACAATGGTGGATGTGTCGCTCAATTTGGTGGATTAGTTGAAGTTAGACATTAACACCGTTAGAAGCCGGCCGGCTCAGTGGTATAGTGATTAAGCGCGCGCGCGCGAAACCGGCAGGTCCTGGGTTCGAATCTCACAGGGGACAAGGTCGTGTATTCGCACTTCTGAGGAGTCTCACAATAGGACGAAACAGCCGTCCAGTGCTTCCAGGTTTTCCATGGTAGTCTAGCTTCAATTGACTCATGATTTCAACTATTGAAAATACTACAGTCTCCACAAAACCCTTCTAATATTTCTCTTTATCAATTGAAATATTCGCCTCAAAATTATAAGATCATTTTCAACTTCTCTATTAAATCTTTCTATTATAACATATCAATTAAGAATTTCTATTGTCTATCTTTTCTTCATATTCAATGATTGTTAGTTATTTAAGAAAATGTTAATTCGTTTTGCAATGTACTAATTCAAAATTATCATTATTTGTTGATGATCTTTTGTTTGAATTGTGAAATTATGTGAAGTACAAATCAAATTCTTAGAAAAACAAAACAAAACAACATATGATCACTCATCTGATCTTTGATTATGTTTAGATGCTTAGGGAATAGAATATTTATGTTATAATAAAGGTGTTATAGTAATGGTGATGCTTAGATTATCATTAATATAAAATAGAAGTCAGTGAAAATGAACATGTTCAATCTAAATAAATGAGTTAGTTATGTGGTTGTGTCAAATCGCAGTTGACTATGATCACCACTACAGATCGATTACATGTCTATTACCAGGTTAAGTCCCTCCATAGGATAAATATTAAAAGGACAGTTGTAGATTGTAGTTAGGATATATTTGCTAATGATTTCGTGGTATCGAAATAATACCGAGATCGTCCCAAAGTTTACAGGTGAGACTACCGTGTGTACGTGAGTAAGTTGTAGGTCACAATCAATGGAAAAAGTATGTTTTTGATACAATTAAACAAAAAGGTACAGTAAATCAATCACTGGTACAGTTGGTTATAATAATAAATGTTTCCCTTACACCAATTGCATGCTCTTCATAAAAACATATCACTACAATTGTATAGGAAACCATTTTATTGAAGTATCATATACATGGTTCTGTTTATTAATCTAAAAAGAGTAGGAAAAAGGTACTATTTTAGATCCTACAACGAGATTCCAAAATATTTTAACTTAAAGGGAGTGATTGCTATTAATTACATAATACCTAAGCAACTAAATAATTTAGAACATCAAGTGGATACTCGCGGGGGACGGGATCGTGGATGCGCACTGTTGAGGAGTCCCACAACTGAACGAAACGGCCGTCCAGTGCTTCCATGTTTTCCATGGTGGTCTAGCTTCAATTGAATCAT